GAAACAGGTCCGTGACGTAGGAAGTAGTAAAGGCGATCTGTTCGGAGTGGCGGAACTGTTTACGACGATTAGATTAAGGGATCTGCAATCCTAAAATGCTACGGAAAGGGAGGAAAACAGGTCTGAGACGTAGGAAGTGGTGAAGGAAGTAGTCAAGGCGAGCTGAACGGAGTGTGGGAACTGTTTAAGACGATTATATTAAGGTATCTACAATCTTCAAATGCTATGGGAAGAGAGGGAAACAGGTCTGCGACGTAGGAAGATGTACGCAATGTTGGATTACTTATTTGCCAGTCAATTCTGCAATGTACTATATAAACCAGAGATAGCGTTACCTATAATAATTAAGACATTTTAGTTGCGTTATAGAATGTATGGAAATAAATTATTTTACTGTGAAACTTTTCAAATTTGTGTATTTTTTAACTTTTAATATAATAAAACCACATTGACTAGATAATATATTTCTCAGTTTGTTTAAATGTTAGAATAATTTGGTTTATATTATTGACCTTTAGGGACTTATGTCCCTACAAGCCACTAGTTTTATATATTTAACATATAGCACATTTAGTGTGCATTTTTTTAGATATGCTGGCAAAACTATTACTGTATAGGAATACATATAAACCTTCACAAATACAATATCTGACAGTTTAAAAGCCAAAACGAATGCTTCGCAATTAAATGTCACCCGATCGTGTTAGTCCATATTTTATATCTAATGATAAAAGGAATTGCTTTATAGATCTATGAGGCATAGCCCTAAGGTAGGCCTGTAATTGAAAGTTACTTTTCACACTGGTTAAAAGTAGTTAAAATACTACCTCAACCTCACTACTGCACACTTTATTCGGGTTGAAATTTTCATTAACAAAGGTGCTCTTGCCTTTTCCACGAAACACTGAGAAATAAATGTACATTAAAATAAATAAAAATAAAAAAATAAAAATAAAATAAAATAAATAATAATAATAATAATAAATAATAAAAATAAATAAATAAATAAATGGACATTAATGTGTTACCAACAGACATACACACACACAAATACGCTGTGATAGTAACAGAGGTTTAACTTACGGATGTAGCTAAACTCGCTTTTCCAATGTGTCACTTTTGGTTTCTACTTACTTAAATTTCGAAAACGATATCGGTACTTTTACTACTCAGGAAGTAAAACTAAAAACGTCCAAAACCCCAGTTTTGTGAGTTTTTGTCACATTTCCTCCGAATGTTTGCTAGATATATGTACCGATTATCTTTTAGAGATTACGTAATGTTTTAAATAATAAACCATTGTTTTGATAAAGGTGGATTCTTCAAACTGTCATTAAACCTTCGCAAATAAAATATCTGACAGTTTCAACACAAACTTACACCAAAATTAACACTGTGCTGCATTTATTGAGCAATCATTGAAAGAGCCAATTTGCAAACTATGGAAACATAGGAAAGTCATAGAACACCACCAAGTATAAAAAATATAAATATTGTGTTTTTTTTTATTTTATTTATAATCATAATTATAGACAACCTAATACTATAATAAGTGGAAAATATTTGTAAAAACTAAAAAAACAAAGCTTTTAAAAAATCATAAGATATTTACAAGAAATGATGATTATATCGAACTGTTATATACTGTACATCGTGAGTATTTCCATAATCTTTGAGACGACTCTTTTAAAGTCATCGGATATTATGACTGTTGTTCGTTATATAATAACGCCTTTAATACTTCGCAATTGCTCGAATTCGAGCAACAGGTAGGCCTAGACTAGTATAGATTTAATCACTTGTCCATTTGACATAAATGCCTTTCTTTTAGACCTCGCCCAATTGTGAGTTTATGTCATACCGGTACTTGTTAAAGAAAATAAAGAAAAGTTTAATCTTAAAGATTATTAACTCAACATTATGAATCTAACTGTCTTGTAATAATTTTGTAATCATCCTATCCTACATAATAAGTATTATAAATGTGAAAGTTTGTGTGTTTGTTTGTTTATTTGACTGTTTGTTTGTTTGTTTGTTTGAAGTTCAATAACGCATTACCTACCGTAAAATGGGGTGAATAGAAACAACAGGGTGAATAGAAACAAAACTTCAATGAATGATTCACATATTTTTATAACTTTGTTATACATTGACTTTATATAAGGGAATTATTTTCCCCCATTATAACCATATCCTATCTACCTGGGAAAAATTAGTTTAGCATATTGGTATCACTGCTTCGGATGTTGGATGATGCGAAACATCATTTGAAAATTTTGGCGAAAAACATTCTTTTCAAAACTTTTTCTCTAAGTATGAACCTATTGCATGTATTTATGTTAATAACCATTTTTTATATTGTCTTAGGTATCTTAAAACCAAGTGTGTTAATAGATTAGCCTTAGAATAAACTATATTTTTTTACTTTATTTTTAATTTAGGTTATGTCATGATTTTGCAAAACCAGGGTGAATAGAAACACTTTTTTTTTAACCAGTGTTGCCCCAGAAAACCCCCCAAAAAAGAAAAAAAAATACCAGAGATGAAGATGATTCTACAGCAGTCACACTGGAAGAAAGTGACAAAGACGATCAATTTGATGAAGAAGAACGAGCATACCTAGCTCAAGACATCAGTGAGTCTTCAAAGTTGTCCCTTCATGATCATGTAATTGTCAAAGTAATGGGGAAAAACAAAACTTGCTATCGTTTATATGTTGCAAAAGTTATTGAATTTGACGAGGAAGGATAAATAGGAAGATTCATCAAGAAAATTGCGCAAACCAACAAGTTCTGAGAGACAGATTAAGAGGCCCTCTTCAAAGTCGATGACGTAGTACGATCGGCTTCCAACTCCCAAGCCGTGTAAAACTTGTAGATTTAAGGGAGTGTTGTATTTTGAGGAAGATTTGTCTGATTTTACTCTTCATTTAGTTGGTTTCTATGTAAGATTTTGTTACTCTGATTTCACCCATTGTCATTCATGTTCTCCGATTTGTTTGGATAAGGGTTTATGAAAACGACGTTTTTATACTTCGTACTTATATATAAATGTGTTAATTAACTTTAAATATTTTTATTTACAACAACCTAAGCTAACAAGCATAAATTTCATGTTTCTATTGCCCCTGGTAAGTGAGGAAAAGCAACAATCATCAATTTAACACAGTGTTTCTATTCACCCCAAAGTGCGGGGTGAATAGAAACAGCCATATTTTATTTTTTTTCTGCTTAATGATTAAAAAGAAAAAAAAATTGATAACTGTTTTGAGTAGAGGAGTTCAAGACCGAAAATATGAGCTAGTGTTGAAAATTTAAAAATTAAAAATATCGGTATTACAGAAGCTTAAAAGTCAAAAAGTGTTTCTATTCACCCCATTCTACGGTACTGGACGGATTGGGCTGAAATTTGGCATGATGATAGCTCACATTCCCTATGAACATATAGGCCTATTCTTATCTCAAAAATCCTTTCGGACTCTGCCCCACTGGCTGTGTAGTTCCCCATGTTAAATTTATGAGTATTCATATTTAAAAGGAATTAAAGAATTTTGTCAGCTTTTTCAACTAAACAAGTTGTGGTTCTATGATATGCAATAGCACTAAAAAGTTAAAAAGTCTACCAACGCAGCACTATTATTCATTTATTTTTTTGCATTTATGACAATATCTAATTTGAGCTAAGCAGTAACAAAAAGCTGTGATACGCAATGATAACTGTCAAAGTAGGATTGTTTACGGTCATGTTTATGATTTTTATTTAATGAATAATTTGTGATATTGTGCGAATGTTTGATCATTTATTTTTAGCGGATTTCCCTATAGGGAAGTAGCTATTCCCTATAGGGAAGTAGGGATTAGAGTAGGTGGCACGGTAAGACCTAGGCCCAGGACCGATTTTCTTTTTCATTTTGATGTCCCCAGAGGCCAAAAACACCATTCGTTCAAATTTTTATATATGTATATATATATATATAGGCTATATGTCTGTGAACGCGATAACTTGAGTAATTTTTGTCAGATTTTGATGAAGTTTGGTTTGAAGGTGTAAGGTGGGATAAACTTGAATGAGTTCGCATGATCGGACCTTGGGAACGGGGTTTTACGGGGGCTATTATGCGGTAAAAAATGGTTTTTCTCATTTTTTACCCTCAAAACACAAAATGACCCAATATCTCTCTAGATCTTTTTAAAGAGCTTAAAAAAATAATAAAAAAATTTGTAAATCAAAGTATCAAGTATAAAAGTAGTTGTTGGGTTATTGGTATCGGATAAAATTCAAAAAATGTTTAATTTAAAATTCCCATGTTATTTATATGGAGAATATTGTAAAATGATGTAGTTTCATTGTTTATTGATATTTTTGGATCAAACTTGGCCCATTTATTTATTTTATACTAAGCTATTAATATTTTACTAAAAAAACTCGCTTTACTAGTTTCCTTGTAGCAGCAAACCTAGGTACTCGTTAAACCTGATGTTATTTAAATATATTTGATTGAAAATCAATTCAGACAAATGAAAATTCGCTTAGTCGGCAGGTTTGCTACAGCAGGGGTATTTTCTATTGTTTAGGTGCAGTGGTAGAATATTATGGCTATGGTAGATGTGATATACTATATCATACTGTAAATTTAAAGAAACAAATTTCATCAAACTGTGTCCTCCCCTATTGCAAACGCAAAGCTTGAGTATAACTGCAATAAGCATTTATACTTATATGCCAACCCCATACAAAGGACGGGTACACTGCTATTAAAGGTATAAAAAGTTCATCAACTGATAAAGAGTAAGTAAGAAGATGAAGTTTTGACAACATGCGTTCAGATTAATATAGTGAAGTGTATATACTATGAATCTACGATTGATATAAAATTATATAGGAAAAGAAATGCTGTTTTTATTTTTTTAATTTAGCCTGCATGTTAATTTTGAGACTCAATTATGACACTCTTTTTATGAAATGTAAATTACTAATTGTGTCACTTATGCTCTCCACAGTTGCCAGCCTGGTTTTTCGACCCAGCTTCAGGCCAGTGCCAGACGTTTGTGTATGGCGGATGCCAAGGGAACGCCAATAGGTTTGGTTCTATAGAACAGTGTGAACGGCAATGTGGGGAATTCCTTGGTCAAGGTAATTTGGATTTTTGTGCCAATCATATTAGTTGTTAGAAGTATTATGGTTACCTTACAGCATGCCCCGGCCACAGCTTCAGATTACATGTTACAATAATTAATTGTTATGATCTGTTTTCATTTCTTTGAAACTTTTATCAGTTCTTTCTAAACCATGACTTTATAAGATTAAATTATTAATGAAACATCATCTACAACATTTTTAGGTAGGTATTCAGGTACAAAACATTTAATTGAAATAAATATACATAAATTCTAGCTAATAAACTTAATACAGTCTGTTTCCAGATGTCTGTCCTGCAGCATGTTACTGAACTCAAGACAAGGATGATTGTTTATTACACTTTGTTTGTGTCAAACATGTTGCATGGAATGGAGTTCTGGGGCAGCTGCTCAAATTACTAAACCATTTTCAAAATTCAAAAAAAAAGATCCTTAGAATCATGACACTTTCAAATCCCAGACAATCCTGTAAATTATTATTTAGTGAATTGAAAATATTAACGCTTCCGTCAATTTATATCCTGGAAACATTATTCTTGATAAAAAAAATCTTGAATCTTTTATAAATGATAACCAATAACCATTATTATTTAACACGACACCGAAATGATTTACAACTGCCCATTCATAGACTTACCTCACTTGAAACCCTTCCACATTATCTAGGAAAATGTTTATAATAAACTGCCTGAAAATATTAAATCATTAGAATAAAAAAAAATATAATAGAAGTTACCAAATTGCTGCTTAGTGTATTACAAAGTTAATTATTTTTTAAATGATGTATTTATTTGATTTCTTAGCATATTTTTTAGTTATTATAGTTTATGTATTTAATTGTCTACCATTTCACCTGTTTCCCAGCTATGCTGGATCTGTAAACGTTTTGTGACAATAAATTATTGACTTTGACATGTTAATTAAAGCATCTATTGAATTTTATCTTTTTGATTGAGAGAAATCTAATCAATACAATCAATCAATAATAACATAATTGGTCCTTAATCGATGACCATCATTGACCAGTAGATCTACGCACTACCACGGCAGTCTAGAATTCACATCCTGTCGGTACGGGTTGCTCACCGTCTCAGTAATGTTTAGTGTTTTTAATGTTAAACGTTAGTGTCTGTTCAATGTTCGTGTTGAGTGTTTTTCTGTATGTCGTACATATTTACAATGACAGACTCAGGTGAAGAAGACGTTGTTAACTATTATCAATACCGAAGACAGCTAAGGGTACAGAGAGCATTAGGTTTACCCCTTGAGCAAGAATGTGAATTCTAGGCTATTTGTAGCTGCTAAATAGCTGTCGTTACAGTCAGATACAAACAATACGGCCGTAAAAATACCAAAACACCATGTGGTCTCGTACGACTGATGTCTGCAATGCAACTACAACCGCGGACTAAGGCCCTGCGCACACGGTGTGACTGTTTTACAACTTTCGTTTTCGTTTTTTGTTTTGTATAGTGTTTTTAGTGTTTATAATTTCCTAACTAGCTCTAGCTGCTACAAACAGCCTAGGACTAACATTCTTGCTCAAATAAGGGTGAACCCAATGCTCTCTCAGTACCCTTCGCTGTCTTCGGTATTGGTAACAGCTAATAACGTCTTCTTCGTCTGAGTCTGACATAGTAAGCGAACTTAAGGCTTTAAAACAACGTAACTGCACTAAATTGACACTCCACTGATTGCAAAATAGACGCAACTGTAGTTGTAAAACAGTCACACCGTGTGCGGACAGAATTTTTTTTTCAGTTGCAAACTGGTTTCAGATGCAACTGGGGCCCTATTTTTGAAATGGTTGACAGTTGACTCTACAGTCAACACTCAACTCAACCAACAACAGGATTTGGTATTTTTGAAATCCAACAGTTTGGAATTGAGTTGGAAATCACTAGTTGAGTGACTCGTTTTGGAAATGTAGAGCATACGACCGCCCGAAATTCAGATGAAGTCATTTTAAACCAATCACAATGCAGAGTTTTTGTGATCTTCGATTTTACCTCTTCTTACTCTAAAATCTGGATCAGCTAATCTCAATCTACCATATTTCGAGATACTGGGGTAAACTGTCAACTCCGTTCTTGAGAGATTGAGGTTATGTCTTGCTTAATCTTAGTGATTGCAAAAGTACCTTATATAAACTTATAAGTATTAACAATAAAATTTACTATGGATGTTTGTTTCTTTTATGGTGTAGCTCATTATAAGTTTAGGCATATCCTAAATACATTATTATTTGCTTTCTTCATATCTATTTCAGAACACATCACCTTATTTTAGTTTTCTTCATCGTTTTGTTTCATGTTATTTTTAATTGTGTTTTTATTTAGGTTAAAGCTTATGGCTATTTACCATTGCACTGAAAGCTTATCGTAACTTAAATTAATTTGATCCCTTTATTAGGTGAATGGTATTGAAACAAACTATGATATTGTTTCTCTCTACCACAATCTTTAATACCTTAAATCATAGGTCTAATGACAATAATTATCTTTTAATAAGTTCAATTAGTATGCCTAGTGTATTTCAAACAAATTAAATAGTCTTATAACAAAGTAAATAGATTAAATAGTTTAGTATTGACACAGTAAATAAAATTAACAATCGCATAAAGTATTGGGTGCTAAGACATTGACAACAAATACATAACCTCTAAATCGCAATTAGTAAATTAAAGCAATAACAAAACAATATGGCGTCGACTCAAAAAGAGTAATTTTTTGCCGAAAGAGAGGAAGAAGAAAGTGCAGTCAACCTCCACTCAACAGCTCAATTGGTGTTGAGTAGTTTTGGTTGTATAAGTCCACCGTCAATCGTTTCAAAAATACGAAACGATTGGAAATAGAATGGCTCGACACTCAACTCAACAGTCAACCATTTCAAAAATAGGGCCCCTGGTTTGCAACAGTTGTTGTAAAACAGTCACACCGTGTGCGCTGGGCCTCACAGATGCATGTGACTGGTTTCAGACTGGTTTTAAATGGTCAAAAAAAAGTTGTGTCGTGTGCACCTCTCCACTCCAATACATTGCCGAGGTCACAATACAGTTGTAAAACAGTCACACCGTTTGCGCTGGGTCTTAAATGCAGGTATCTAAACCACTTGAAGTATTATACAGTAATCCGGAGGCTAACATTCCTCAATATAAAGTTGATAACTTTAGTACTTATATCAAAATGATGTATGATTGATTGTTTACATGTGTGTTTAACCTGTGTCTAGATGTATGCAATGTGCCAGTTGATGTTGGTCCTTGTCTACAACATCTTAGCAAGTGGTACTTTGACCCTGCGACTCGCTCATGTCAGGAGTTCTCCTACGGTGGATGTGACGGAAGCTCTAACCGCTTCAGCTCACTGCCTGAGTGTGAGAGTGTCTGTTTGCACCGAGAAGAGCTCATCCCTGAAAACAATGGCTCTATGTCATATTTAGGTATGTAGTCAGACAATTGATGATAAATTGTTTATGTAGATCTTGGTGGTAGTTTGGTGGAAGATTGGTAGATGGTGGTTGGGTTAGGATAATCAATACAATATTTATTGCTTGATAACATAAATCTACCCCACTCATGTGTCCATTAATTAAAGAATTATTTCTAATAGGAATTTTTTAATGTTTTTGTAAGAAAACTAGTTAGTTAATTTATAAGGGATATCACTCTGGAATGGGATAAATGGAAGAACTTCTATGGGAATCTTAGAACAAGGATGTAATCTGTAACCTATTTTTTTTGTTAAATTTTATTTTAAAATTAATGTTTGCTTATCTAAAATTATAAATTTAGAATGTATTTGGACCTAATCAAATAAAAGAACTTCTAGAGTTATCTGTAAGTAAAATGAAATTAAAATCACTTATAAGTAACCCTTTAAAATTATCTTTATTGTATGGAGAGAAGCTAAATTCTTTGTTTTTACTGATATTACAAATAATGTAGGGATGAAATGTATTAAAAATAACATAGAATTGATTCACTACGGTACTATAGTCCTCGCCACCCTAAGTTGAGGCAGCCAAAGGCTGCACTAGATACACGCCGTGCGGCCTTGGGCTGCCTCAACTTAGGGTGGCGAGGACTATATACTGTAGCTTGGGACGAGTAGTGTTGTGTTCTAACTGCATGTGGTGATAGTTGTTGTGGGATTGCATGTTCAGCTATATGTAAGCTGCCTGTGGACTCTGGACCATGTCTGGATGGTGAGTTCCAACGATGGGCTTTTGACGAGCGACAACAAACTTGCGTCGCTTTTACATACCACGGCTGTGCCGGCAACCTAAACCGCTTCAAAAGTTTCAAAGCCTGTCTGGACTACTGCATTCCTGGCCACTCGTCTACTGATACTGTTAACCGTGAGTACATAACAGTACAAACAAAGACATGTGAACTAGTTAAACACTTTTTAAAATTGAGATATTTAATATTTTTATAACATTTCAGATACACGACAGATTAAATATCTCCCTTGTAGCAAACTTGCAGACTAAGGACATGGTGGTAATAGCTTAATTCCCTACCGGTATAGAAAAGTACTGTAATATTTTTTTTTATTTCAAAGAAGAAATATTATTAGTAGTGATAGGCAGATCCAAGAAAATGTCAGCACCGGTTCCGGATCCGGATACGTTTTTTTTTCTTTTTTCCCAAGGGCGGGTTTTTAAAATAACTCATATAGCTAGGCAATTTCACAGTATTTTTTGGCAATGTCAAAGACTACCTGTGTCCATATACAAGACTATCTTTGTCCAAAATATACAAGACTGTCAGTGTCCACAAGCCTGTCTGTGTCCATGAACAGGACTATCTTTGGACACAGATTGTCTTGTATATGGACACAGTTAGTCTTGCACATGGATACAGATAGTCTTGTACATGGACTCTGATAGTCTTGTACATGGACATAGATTGTCTTATATATGGACACAGTTAGTCTTGTATATGGCCACCATACTTGGGAATAACGAATAAAATTTCTAACAAATAGCGATATTCGTTAGTTTTTTCAGCTAACTTCTATTTATTCGTTATTTTTTTTAAAGTGCTGGAAATAACTTCTACTCAGTTAGATTTATAGCTTACGAATAGATAATATATTCGATAGTTTTAAGTCGTTGGATTTTTGGTCAGGCGGAAGTATCTCAAATACGGGTTATTGTTTTTATGTGATCAGTGAGGGTTGCGTGCGGCCGTGAGGGGTCAGCGCCCTTGTTGACAAAAAATGCGAGGGGTGGGAAAGAGAAAGTCAAAGTCCAGTTGCTTTGGTATGCAGTGGCCCACATAACAACCATTCCCACCCCACCACTTCACGGCCAGTGGGCCCGTGGAAGGGCAGTGACGGCCAATAACAACACCCCAAGCACCGAGGGGTGGGAAGGCGGTGGGGCACACGGGAGGGACTAAGGCTAACATATCTTGTATTGTCAGCGTTCGCCGCAAGAACTGCTAAGTTGAAATAATTAAAATATTTTTTTTTTTATTTTTAGTTATAAAATTAACTTTTTAATTATAAAATATTGTTTTAAAATTATAAAATAAATTTTTAATTTTTAAAATTAAACTGTCATAACATAACCTAACCAACCAGACTTGCTGATAATATAAAAACTATATAAGATAAAAATCTAATTAATAATTACTTATAATTTTTAATTAATTATAAAATTAATTTTAAAATTTAGTATTATAAAATTAAACTATCATAACCTAACCTAACCAACCAAACTTGCTCATATGACAAATTTTTTGACAAAAAGTTAGTGCTGCCAGCGAGATTCGAACCCGGGACCTCCTGACCACCAATCCGAAACGCTATCAACTATGCCACGAACGCCGCTGAAAACACTTCGTTTCGTTACGGTAATCGTGTCGCCTCAAGAGAAGACATTAGCCACTAAAGATATGACGTCACTACAACTTTAGCCTTAGTCCCTCCCGTGTGCCCATTCCGGTGGAAAGGGGGAATGTTTGTTTGGTGATTATACACTCAAGTTATCATAAGTCAGTGTCAAAACATCGTCCTAAATTTGTTATCTTAAAGTGACAAGTTTTAAGTCATTATTTGTTTCTGTTGTAGTAATGTAAAATGTGACAATGTTTATTTAAAACACAAGTACCAGGAGGCCGAGCATTGCTCGAGGTGTTTCATTTGTTCAATAGGTAAAAAATAAAACTTATAAGCCTACAAATATTTTCAGTTTTACTACGATTAATTAAGTTGTAAGGTCAATTTGTTTTAGGTAGACATTCATTCATCCTTAATTTATCTGACAAACGTTTTCATGTAGACGAACAATTTATAAAATTTCTACAATGAGCTTCAAGATAAAACTCATGATATGATACAAAACATCTGTTATCTGTTGATATTGGCATGGATTTTGTTTTTATCCTTAAACTAAGATATTTCTAACAATTTGGAGGAAATCGTAGGAACCGTTTTTAAAATCATTATGCACTTTACTCATATTATAGTATAGATTAGTTACCAAGATGTGTCATCCATTAATTACATACAAAATCCTTTAAAACAACTGCCCTGCCCAACAAACAGCTAGGTCTACTTCTACAAAAACTAACTTTATTTTCTATCAGTTAGTTTTTTCAACTAACTATAACTTCTATCAGTTACTTTTTATGAGACTAACTAATAACTTCTAACTATAACTGTACAAAATAAAAAACTATCAGAACAGGAAGTTATACTAAAGCGCTCACTTTTGGCTTACTTCATACAAAAATTACCAGCTCTAAACAAAAGATTTTTCTACTCCCTCATGATTGAAAAGGAGGGAAAATCATATGTTTCTGTCACTAGAACTAACAGTAAGGAAATTGTAACGGCTAAATCTACAGGATGGACTGAAGTAACGTCTAAATCAAAGAATCTAAAATTCACCAACATGGATCCTGTTATTACAACAAACAAACTTGAGGTATTACAGAATCTCAAAAAATCTGATGTGACCCATAATAATCTAAAACTGGCGCTGTCTAAGTCCAAGGACCCTCAAGTTAACCACTCCAACTTAAGCATCAAGAACCCTGCTAAAAAGTTAAAAAAAAACAGTAAAAAGGACCAACGGACGAATTTTAATTCTTGCGGATAGCCATGGTAGACATCTTAGGTCAAACATAACAAAGATATGGCAGGATAATGAATATGACATTGACTGTTTATTTAAGCCAAATGCAACAATAGAAAATGTAATAAATGATGTTAAAGGCCTTACAAGTTCATTTTCCAAAGCTGATACACTTATTGTGCTGGGGGGATCCAACAATGTAATTGAACACACAGAGAAGAGGTATTGTGAAACCGTTAAATGGCTGATGGAGAGCACTAAACACACTAATGTAGTGATGTCAGCAATCCCTTACTGACATCACACTCCTGGTCTAAATAATAGAATATATTACATAAACATGGACATTGAATCACTTGTGTCAGAGTATAACCATGCTACCTTTTTGGCTATAAATGAACTATCTCGTCAGTCTTATACACAACATGGACTACACTTTAACAAGCAAGGAAAATTACAAATATCAAAAATGATTAAAGAAATATTTGTTCCAATGATTAAAACTGTTGTTGGATCTAAAGAACAAACACAGTCTGCTTAATAATATTAATGTCATTGAAGCTAACATGTGGGATGTGATTAATGCTAACAAAAAAGCCCCTACCACAGCATTTGCGCATAACATATCAAGAGATATCCAACACCACAGAAACATGTCTGCTGGTGTAGCGGTTGTGTTTCGTAAGATATTTGGTAGGCCTAAGGACACAGACTTCATCAACACAAGATTGACTAGCCAGACAATCAGGGGGTACCGCAGTCTACAGTCTTGTCACAAAGGAAGAATATAGAGGAAAGCCAACACTACCAACGTATGATGAGGTGTTTGAATACTTGATTGAGGATTTTAAAGTAAAGAAATTCGATACTTTAATATGTTCTCCTATGGGCTGTGTGCGTGACTTAATACCTCTCAACCACTTTGCAAAAAATATTGTAAAGCTACACAAAGTGACTAATGCTACAATATATGTGGTGTCATGTGATCAACCAGCTGCTCAGCGAAAATTATGGAATGGGCTATCACATACTGCATTTCTGGATCAGCTAAGGAAGACAATTGACAGTTGCTGTTGTGAAATTGATGCCCCAAATATTCTAACTGATGCTTGCATCAACCCGCCTGCTTCATGTTCGGAGGATCTGCAGCAGTCTTTGGAGATCTCACAGGGCTCTGGTAACTCAACAAACACAACTAAGATAGTTTTGTCTGATTGTAAAGCACCTGGAGCTGACGGCCAACTTACAAACCAGATGTCAACACATGGTGAAGAAGTTCAAGTGGTGCCCGGCGACCTCACATACAGTGAGGCGCTAAAGCAGAGCAGTGATAAAAGTGTCGTGAGTGATAGTTTAAATATAAGCAATAGGTATAGTTCGACCCAGTCCCCTTCAACTAATCAACCACACCGGATCCTTCCTGACCCTAAACCGGATTTAAACTCTTCGCCGACAGATTTCAAGGATCCAGACTAAAGTTTAAAAATCAAAACTCAACAAATAGCAACAAAATAGACACATTTTCAATTTTTCATCAAAATATTCAACATTTAAATTCCCGGAAAGAACCATTAGAAGTTGTTTTAGAAGCAATTAAACCCAATATTATTGTTTTGACCGAACACAACATGAAAGAATATGAAATAGAAAGATTTAATTTAACTAACTTTTCTGTTACTTCTGCATAATCTCGTACAACCACCTCCGGCGGTGGCGTGATGATTCTGTCGGAGAAGAGTTTGAACTCAAAATCCCTAACTTTAACAAAAGTTGATGAACTGACCGAGGACAAGCTTTTTGAGTGTTGTCTGGCTAAATATAGAATAGCAAAATGGTCTTTTGTGCTGGTAGGAGTTTACAGAAAGCCTCAATTACAAACATTAGAATTTTTAAGTAGATTAGATAGGTTAATTGAACTTTTAGTTTCTTTAAAAGACGAAGTAAATTTTGTTATTGCTGGGGATTTCAACCTTAATGTATTACTTACAACAAATGAAGTTCAAACTTTCAAAAACATCCTAAGAAGCTACAATTTTAATTATTTAGTAAATTTTCCTACAAGGGTAACCAGTAATACTGCCACAGCAATAGATAATATTTTGACGAATATAGATATAGGCCAGTAAAATTAGACCAAAATAATACAAAATAATGCTGTTCTTTGTCTAAAAGGTTATTATTTTGTAAATGCTCAAACAATCTATTATACATCACCCGCTCATATATTTTTGAAATAGCAGGTAAGACAGAAACAGGACGGTAATTACTTCTTTCAGTTTTTTCACCTTTCTTAAAAACGGGCACTACTTTAGACATTTTTAAACTGTGAGGAAAAACTCCGGTTATTAAGGAACTGTTAACTAAATGAACTAATGGCTTTAACAAGGGTTTTACTGTATGTTTAATTAACTTTAAAGGAACTTCATCGTGGCCACTTGATAACTTATTTTTTAAGGACAAAATAATTTTTTCAATCTCGGCCTTATCAACTGGTTTACATTTAAAAGGATTCAAGATTTCAATATGATTTATGTTGTCCTGTAAATTTATGTCATTGGGCAACATTGAATTATTTGAGGTATCCTGAACAAGATCATCTATTACATTAATATAGTAGTAATTAAACAAGTTTGAGATGCTCAGAGGATCACATACAGCTTCACCATCTATATTTATTACATTGATTGCTCCTCTTGAGCTATTAACATTTTTTCCTGTTTCTTCATTTATTATCTCCCAGGTTTTCTTGCAGACATTTTCAGAGTTTTTATTTTTTTTTTCATAAAAAGTGTTCTTAGCCCTCACAAGTTTATTTTTGTAATCTCTATCTTTTAATTTACAGTAATTAATTACATCAACATTACCACTAAGTCTAGCATATTTTGATAGTTCAACTATATCCTTTTTCTCCATCTTCAGCTCTTTATTAATCCAGTTACTTTTCCTTTTGTACAAGTATCTTTTGATTTTCTTTTTTGGAAAAACTAAATTAAAATTATATTGAAAAATGTTGTTAAATACATCAAACTTATTCTCTACTTTTGATAAATATAATGGAAGCCAGTTTTCATAGGAAAGAATATTTTTAAAAATATTCATATTATTATCTGAAAAACCTCTACATTCGACATATTCACTGGGAAAATTTAATTTTTTAGATTTGGGTAATGTCAGTTCTAAAATTTGTCCATTATGATCAGAAAGAGATGTTATGATTCCAGTAACATAGGCCAGTCAAATAAGAATTTTTCTAGGAATTAATTCCCAGCAAGCTGGAAATCATTTTAATATCTTCATTTGGTCCCAAATAAGTGTAATCTGAGTTTGCACCGTTCTATGAGGTGAGCTTACATTATGGCAGCCTAAAATAAATTTGTTTTCAGTATTTTTTTCAGTTTTTTACGAATTGCTCAAAAACAGTGTGTCGGACACAAACAACGTCCTTTTAATATCAAAGAGGATTAAATTATGCGTAAAATGAGCATATAAATATCCAAATTCGGTTAAGTAGTATAGCCAAAATCTTAAGTTTTAAATATATATTTTTTTGTGTTTCATTGCATTTTACATTTTGCGACTTTCCTGAACCCCATACTATCTTTGAATGAGAAACACACCCGTGACTATTTCCTTCTTTATACGAAGTAAGAGTGGGGGAAACAGCTAATCAAGTATTCCCAGCTGTTTGCAGTTGTATAGTACAACACAATATCATTGCTAAGTGGCTGTCAGTTACTTTGGAAGTGATGCTGTGAATACGACTTGTTTAAAAATAATTGAGGGCGTTTACCAATTTAATTTATTGCTGTCGTTATATTCGTTCAAACAAGTGTTACAACGTAGTGATCTGTTATCTTTATGATATTAAGTGGTGTGTTTAACATGTTTAGACATGAACGATCCTGAGTACCGGTATTTAATCTGTGATAGACCGTTACATGTTGAGGCCTCAAACTTCTGTGAAACAACAAGGAATAATAATAATAATAATAATAATAATAAGCAAGCAATCCTTGGCAAACGTAATTTTCACTGAAACGATGACTGCAACCATCCTGAAAGAACAATTTCTCTCTAACTACAACAACAGAGGACGGCTTAACTCAATGCTGAGGGAGAAATTAGTGCACCAGGGGTTTTCGGTGTAAAAAGGAAAATCAACCACTTCAGCTCTGCTGAGATTTGTGGAAACAATAATTGATTCTATTGACAAGGGGGATAAGGTAGCCAGTGTCTTCATGGATTTGTCAAAAGCATTTGATAGCGTGTCTCATGAAATACTTCTTAAGAAGCTTAAAGTTTTGGGCCTGCCAGATGTTCCTTTAAAATGGTTTAAATCATACCTCTCCGATAGATCTCAGTATGTTGAAATAGTTTCAAAAAAAGGAGACCAAGTCGTTAAAAATAAATCACAAGCATTAAAAATTAAACATGGAGTTCCTCAGGGTTCTATTTTAGGACCATTATTATTTCTTTGCTATGTCCGTGGAATGCCCTCAATTTTAAAATCAAACATAGAAGCCAAAAGCCAGTTATTGTTGTACGCAGACGATTCAAACCTAATTATTTCAGCTAAAAATTACCAACATAACTAACTGGAATGGATTTACAGGATACTATTGAAACTTAAATTTGATAGGTTTAATAACTTTTATAACGTAATCAAGGGTGTTTTAATTTATCTTATGTTACTCTTTTCATCTAAATTTTTTGTAGAATTTGTAATAATTTTAGTAAATTTCTGTAAAGGGAATTTCAAGATTCTTTAAAAAATAGTTCTCCACCTTGTTACAGCAAATATAATTGATGTGGACAACGATTGTGCGAGTATAGAGGCTACATGCACTCGACTGTCTTGTCCATATGGTGTGGAGCGCTGGGTGGATGGTAATGGCTGTGACAGCTGTAGATGCTACAATCCCTGTCTATCGCATAACTGTCCAGTCAACACAACATGTGCCATCACTCTTGCTACCAACCAAGGCACTGGCCAGACCGAGTACAAGCCCATCTGCAGGGAGTGTGAGTCTCAACAATAGTTTAGTATCTGCTCTAGTAAATAAACCAAATTATCAGACCCAGCAACTAAGAATATCATTGGAAAAACTTCAAAAACAATCATGCAAAACATAATTTTTTCTAAACTCTTTTAGGGAAACCTTGCTGATTTTCTGACTAGTAAAACATGTTACAGTTAACATATTACAGTTACACTTGTGTGTATTCTGTAGTAAAACGGCACGACAATTAAATCAAAAGTAAACAAACTAGGATTGCTTACATAGCAGTGAAAGCCAGTTGAGCGGAGCGATTACGTTTCATGGTTTTTAATAAAGCAATAAATTAAAATATGTTTATAGATATAATACACAATACAAGTATTCCATCAATTTATCTTATCAGTTTCGCTCAGAACTATCAACATCTATAAGTTTCATAAGTAAAGATGTGGACATGACATACATATCCTTTGTATCGGTATTTTCCTGTGTTTGCTTGCTAATGTCATCTGATGAACCCACAGTTTGTGTTGAACCCGACCTTGAACCTAAACCAATCGACATTTTCTCAATCTTTGCCAGATTTTTCAATTCAGGACGATTAGCAGATATAACTTTTTAATTAAAGACTAGCCTGCTTTGAGAGAATTGCACAATTAGTTGTCATCATTCCTTATGAGGTTTGTTTTCTTAAATTGTGTACATCTATATATAAAGCCAAAAGTACCCATGAACTTTTGAGAAAACTACAAGTCACACCCCCATAAACCATATACTTAAAATGTTCGTCATGACGAGAAACCTCGCGCAAAACTATCCATTATTTCATAAATTGCCCATTAAGGTGGTAATTCCTTTCTAAAGAGAACTTTTCATATACCTAATGTTAAAAATACCTCAGCTGTACTATTTCTTTAATCAGGTGTGATTATTTGTTTCTTTTACTGTATTTTGTTCATTTCAGGTTAACTTAACCAATCAATAATTTTAATAATACTTATGATGTCAAACGGGGTGAAGCCCGTGGGTAACAGCTAGTTTAATATAATTATGAAAAGCATTGTTTTCAAGCAAGTGCTCTACATTCAACTATCTCAAATGCCAGAAGTAGTAATAACACATGTGAACATGGTATTAGATATGCTAATATGTTAAACTGTGATGTTTGTTTGGCAGTACACAAGGAAGGTGAGTGTCCGCAACTGAGTGGGGAGGCGAGTCATTGTACGGAGGAGTGTTCAGTGGATGCAGAGTGTGCGGGGATTGCCAAGTGTTGTTACAACGGATGTGGCAAGTCTTGTCTTGAGCCTGTATCAGAACATGTACAGACGTCTGCTCCAGAGACATACCACCCGGGCGGTGAGTCACATAGCTGTCTCTGGTTTCCCCATCTTGTCCAGACTGTTTCAGATATCATGACAATCAACTTTTTACTAGACCAACAGCTAATATTATTCATTCAATCGGTTGGAGCTAATTTAGTTTTCAAAGAAACAAGGCTATTCTTTGATTAAAGTTTATTGTTAGTGATAGTGAGTTAATGTTGTTCAAAGTTTATTGCGGGCATTTTCCATCACAATGATAAAATACAATACACAATTTTTCAATGCTGAAATCTGTTCCCGTCCTCAGGTGAAAAAACTTAACTAACACATTACAACTAACAATACACCAAACTCAACCTAAGTTGGAATAAGCTACAGAGAGTAGCAGTCAAGTATAAGTACTGTAAACGTTGTGAATTGTATTTTACCATTGTGATGGAAAATGTCCGCAATAAACCTTTAAACAACAAAAAAAAGACTAGACATAAAATATTTCTATAACTTTAGATGGAAACAGAACCCTTGAAGCAGAGATTTTAATGTTATTCACTGCTTTTGTAGTAAATGCAGGGACGTATTTAAGAATTTGTCGCCTCTAGGCAACGAAGTTTGCCGCCGCCCCCCCTCCACAATTTGTCAGCGCACTCCCCAACCTCACTAATATCACCCCAATGGCCAATACATGGCCCTGTCAGCTGATTTTGTAGAAAAATAATCAGCAATATTGCATGCTGCATCAACAAATTTAATATTTTTTTTAGCCCTTTTAAGGGACTTTTTTCTACGCAGTTTTTATGCAAAACTTTATTCTGACTTGGATACTCAGAATGCAAAGTTTTTTTATCCAATCAGTAACTATAATCATGTTTTGAAGCGTGAAATGAAATGGCACACAAAACTGTCTGTATACAAGGGTTCTTATAACACTTTTCATTGAACACTTTTAGTCACATCCACTTGAGAGATGTGCTATTGGTTTTGATATGAAATAAATATGTTTACTACCTACTACTATGGCACACCTACACACAAGTATATGGTGCACAATAAGCTGTTCTAGCTGCGCTGCAATCCCGTGGTTACTTGAAGCCTGGCCCTCTATCTATACCCACAAGTATTATTTTTTACTATTAAGGTTAGATAATTTCTGCGTTACACAGAAGATATTCCTCTTGTCTATCATTAACCTCAAAAAGTGAACATCCGACTTTCTTAAGAGTCTTCATCAGTGGTAGCCATCTTGGATTTTAGTCCCGTAAGAGCAATGTTAACTTTGTAACCGAATTTCTAAAAACCGTGTTGTGATAAAATAATGATTGAGGTGTTAAAATTATGGTTAAGTGGTCCTCATATTTGAAATAACATTTCCTTATTCCCTAGTACTCTATGTTATAAACCTAATTATAAATTTTCAAAACTGTATCTTTATGAATAACACCAGTATACTGCTTCAAATGATGGTAAGTACTGTCAAATTTAACATTGCTCTTATGGGACTAAAATCCAATATGGCTACCACTTATGAAGAGTCTTAATAAAGATCGTCATTCATCGCTTTCTTCTTCACTTGAATATTGAAGTTGAACGCTCTCATCTCTCCAGAGTCAGCAGACAGCCAGACACAGAGGAGCGCGGCAAGCGGCAGACAATGGTACTAACTTGTCTGTCATACACTCCCATGGCCATTTATGCCCAAGGCGGGATTTGGCCGCACCAACAACTGCTTTCAATCTCTCTCGATCTTCTGCCTCTTCCACTGCTGCCCCCACTTCTCTGACGTCCTTGGAAACACTATCCCACCATCTCTTCTTGGGCCTTCCTAATGGTCGTTTCCCTTCTGGCTTTCCTATACTTGCTTCTTTTAGTAGTGAACCTCGTTCTCTCCGTAGTGCGTGTCCTGCTCACCTTATTCTCCTTGCTTTCACGTTTGCTACTACATCATAATCATTGTACATATTCCTTATCTCCCTATTATGCCTTTTTCTCCATTCTCCATTTTCTTGTATTGGTCCATATATCATTCTTAAAATTTTGTTTTCAAAAACAATCATCTTGTTTTCTTCTTTTTTATTTAAAATCCAAGTTTCAGCTCCATATGTTAATACTGGTCGAATTATACTATGATATATTTTTATTTTTGTTTTATGTGAGAGAATCTTTGAAGTCAACAATTTCTTACAAGAATACATACATTTATTGGCCTGAGCAATCCTATAATTTATTTCCATTTCTTCACTATTGCTGCTTGATATAATTACCCCTAGATATTTAAATTGTTCAACAACTTCAAAAGTATGTCCATCTATACTAATTTCATTTGTCCTCACTTCATTTGGCTGTCTCGTGAAGTGTATATATTTTGTCTTCTCATCATTAATCTTTAGGCCCATTTTTTCTGATTTTTTTATGAACAGTCTGGTTAGCTCCTCTAGGTCATTTCTGTTTTTGGACAGAATTACTACATCGTCCGCAAAAGCTCCAGTGAAAAAATGAAGATCAGTCTCTGGTAAAGTCTTTCTACCTTTCAGCTAGCGCTGTCGCTGCGTAGTGTCTTATGAAGTAAACAGGGGGAAGTGTTTTCTTTGTTCGCCATTTTGCAGCGGCCGGCAACCCGCTACCGCGGCGCGCGTGTCCGTCAGACCCATAGGACAGCACGGAAAACTCAGCACAGCTGTGTAATAAACTATTGACTTTTGTTTGACTTTCAAATCAAATCAAATCAAAATTTTCTTTATTCATTATGTACACATAGAGTACAGAATGGCGTCAACAAGTACTATTATAAACTGGTAAGTACAAGTATATATAATACAATAATAAATTAAAATTATAATCACTGTAAGAAATTAAATTAACTGTTACAGACGACATATGCTTAAAAAAATTCATTAAAACTGTACAAAAGGTTTAACAATAATAAATGACTTCAATGTCTTTTTGAAGGACCCAAAATCAGTTATACATTTTATGTTGTCTGGTAATGAATTATAAAATTTGATGCCTGAATATGTTGGCTTCTTCTCATAAAATGTTAGCTTATGTCTATTAAAACAAAAATTATTCTTATTTCTAGTTTCATATCTGTGATTAAAACCTAGCATACAATGACTATTTTGATTTTTTTTTATCCACAGAATCAGATCATAGATTAATTAGCTGTAAACTGTCATTATTCCTAAATTTGAAAAATGTTCTCTGGCTGACTCAAACCACTTAAGTTTCATTATTATTCTTATTGCTTTTTTCTGTAATATAAGTATCATGTTTAAATTTTCATTAGAGGTGTTACTATAAACCGACAAACCAAAAGAGACATGAGAGTGCACAAAAGCAAAATAAACTGCTTTAAGGGTTTTAATATCACAAAATGGTGATAATTTTCTAAGGATGAAAATACCTGTTGACATTTTTTTACAAACTTAAGATACATGAGTGTTCCAGCTAAGAAGTCTATCAACAGTTAAACCAAGGAATTTTGTTTCCTTAACTTCATCAATAAAGGAATCATTAAGACAAACATTCTTTACCACAGACCCACTTTTCCTATTTGAAGCGGAAAAATTAATATATTTAGTTTTTTGTTTATTTAATAAAAGGTTTAAATCAGCTAAATGTTGTTGGATTGCATTAAGTTTTATAAAAGAAGATATTTCTATATCATTTGCATGGTATCCGGATAGTTTTATATTTACATCATCTGCATATAAAGTGATTTTACTTTGATCACTGAAATTAGCTAAGTTATTGATGTAACATAAAAAGAATAAAGGCCCCAATATAGATCCTTGTGGTACACCATATTTCAACGGACTGTTACTGGAACGGCAAGTTATAAGTTGATTATATTTGTTTACGTATTTCAGTTCACATTAATGTGGACATAGTTGGACCCTTACCGCCTTCTCAAGAATTTATATAGGCCTACTTGCTAACTATCATATACAGCTTTACACGATGGATCGAAGCAACGACAATCAAGGATATTACAGCTGAAACAGTAGCAGAAGCACTCTGTTATATCTCCTAGTCTGTTAATATGATGAATATTTACTTTTGCATAATTTATTTATCACTAATGTACCTGTTGATCAAAATCGAGCAATTGTCAAGTACCGGTATTATACAGGAGTTATTTTGAAACAGTAATAACATTCCATGAGTTTAAAGGACCCGACTAAAAGCTTATATAACTAATTGAAATACTCACGCTATTTAGTACCGTAGCGCTTTGAAATAATAAACACTTCTTGTAAAAATATTTTATCATTTTTAGAAGCCGGCCTTAATTTTTAGTGTTTACTACAAATATTTTGCAACTTATAGCTGTTACCAGTAAACATTTCTTGCATGTATTTTTTTGATCTGACATAAGGTAGGTTAACTTTACCATTTGTGACAACATGATGCGTTATTCTTCATGGCTTTTTTACTTCCAAAATAAGTTGCATAGCAGAACTGGTAAAAATTATTCATCTCCCCAAGTGATTGTGCACCTGGATTCCTTACTGTTAGACCAGGCCTCTCTTCTACTCCTCTCATACGTATAAGATGCCCTATTAATTGTCTCCTCCTCCTGTTTTCAATATTTCTTCTTAAAACTCAAAAAATTTTCTGTTCTTCCAATAAAACTGATTAACTGTTTGGATACCTCCTGAATATAACAAACATCAATATTTTTACTCCTAAAAAGCTGGTGAGTTTCTTTTTACATACAGCTTTTTTTCTTTTTTTTGTTTAATTTGTTCAATGTAATTCTTATGGGGAAAATTTGACCTTTGAGAGCGTCTCGTGCCCTTAAGGGTAAGAATTTTTTAACTCTAAAACCTTATTGCAAAACTTTACATTGAGACTAATTATTTGACACCTCAAACTTTAAATTGGTCCACAAATAAGGGAGGAGTAGAGTTAACAAAAAACGGCTTCATGTATTACATTATAAAACTTCACGTATTATCTATATAGATATACAGTGTAGTATAATATATACAGGGTGATTTGTACTCAGTGTGACAAAATTTTTTTTGTAAGTACAAA